TTCTACAGTATAATTTTTTTATATTTTTATTTGATGCCCTTCAGCAATTAAATGCCTTCTAAACGTAAGACGAGCAATATAATAGAGGATTCGAATTACGATAGCGATGATAGTGAAGTTATTATTTTTAAAAGAAGAAGGATTAATGTTATCGACGATTCTGTTTCTGACAATAATATTTCTAATACTGGAGACATTTCAAAATATATCATGGTTACGGAAAATGAATACCTTGACCAAGGCAATTCATTTCAATTCATTGAAATGTCGGGACCGCGATGCCGTTTATCTAATAGAGCCAAACCGATTGAATATTTGTCAAGTCGCGCATCGACAAAAACCGAGCGTGTCGCGGTTATCGGTTTCGCAGCCTAGAGCGCTGGTACTGTTCGAGAGACAGATGAGAAGCGCAAAATCGCTCCGTGGCACTCAAACGGTTAAATAGCTCACCCTCGACTATTCTAATGGGATATTAATGGACTCGGACAAAACAATTATCCGATCTGCATCGCATGACTCGCGCGAAAGGTGATACGGAAATAGGCGAAGTTATATGCGCTTTTGGACACGCGCGTCTGAATGAACACCGCGACCGGATGGACACAGTCCACTTCAAGCAATACCGTTAACACTGACTGGCACATAAATCGCAGTCGACGTGCATAGCAATCAATCGCGTCACCCGGACGTTTATCAAGATGTACGGACTCGCCTGCACGCGATCGAACGTATCGAGCAGACTGCTGCCTTGGGAAAGGGTCGAACAACATTAGCAACTTCTTCCGAGCACCCGGGATTTCGGGACCAAGGGGACTGCTGAAGGTCCTCTATCGGCCGGGACTTCGTCTTACTCCGTGCGAATCCTTTCTCCGAGGGGTGACCAGGGAGAACGTTGATAGACCAAGGTGTTCGTCCGTCAGGCGATCAGGTGGGGATGAAGGTCGCATGCTGCCTCGTGCAAGTGCCTCGAGAACGTACCACCTAGACCTACAAAACGAGATTACTCGGGGCTATCTACCGGCAGCGAGTTGCATCGCGTATGCACGCGTGCAATCGCCAGGCGCCGACAGACACTGTGAACTCGGAGCGGAGAACGCATCTCCCTTTACGAAAGAACCGTCTTCGGTCATCTGATATCGTGGAAGGTGTCTCGTTGGGATAGCCACGCGGCGGATATGCTTCTCTCTCGGTAATGATTATTTCACCACTGATTAGCCGGGTGTGACTGTCGTTATCGGAGTGATGGTTCGCAACCAATAATCAGGATTCCAAGGAGAGTGTTGTGCATTTCATCTTCGGTAGATATGTGTTAAAGAGGGGTAATTCTTGGACAGCATTGTCTTTATTATTAACGTCTTGTCGTAAGGTTCTCTTCGTGGCTGCGAAACTATTCGTAAATGAAAGAGAAGCTCCTATTGATTCTGCCCCTTCGGTTGCTTGACCTTTTACCTTTGCTTATTCTCACCTAAAATAACATTCCTATTTACAAGGTACGCTTGTAAAATCGAAACGTTAAGAAATTTTGCAAAAATTAAGTAAGTTATATCTATTGATACAACCGTTTTTTTTTTTTTTAAACGATGAGTGTAAAACGATGAAAACAACTCTTGAAAAGGTTTCAATATTTCCATGAAATATCTGAATTGATGTTAAAAAAGAGTTGCAACGAAAATGTCATCGTTTTATTGTATCTGCGAAGCTGCGTAATAGAAGTTGTTTAATTTATTTTAATTTCAAAAATTGAGATATTTTTTAATTTCTACATTTATGTTATCATTATAGCTTGTTATCAGACTACAGATTTCTTAGCGAACTGAAAATTGCCTTTATTAATAGCAAGTTACAGAAGCTACACACAAACGCACACACAACACACACGCCTATTTCTTTTCTTAACACATTGCGAACGGGGCTCTGCGCGTTCAACACGCCCTCAAAGACCGCACATTTTCGAACGCTCCAAAAACATGCTTGGCAAGTAACAGGAAGCGGATACGCACATTTCTAATTTGCATTTAGTATTCTTAAATAATACTATATATACATAGTTTATATATCTGTTTATTATATAAGATTTTTTACATTTTAACTATTATTTATTATACAAATTTGAATATTGATTTAGAGTGGCTATAATGACTGATCATTTCTACATGCTTGGAATGATTCATTTGTTTCGCTAAAATTACTTAGGAATGCGGGAGGCTTCGTTACCATGGTTACGTAACAGAAATATTTGCGGCTGGTTGCTTGTTGCCGATTAAATAAAAAAAACATGAAAACGAGATATCTCGTGACCCGTCCGCAACGTTCAATTTTTTAAAAACGAGATATCTCGTGAGCCGACCGCAATGTGTTAATAATTGTAACAAGTTGAATCTAATACGACAGTAATTCTAAATTCTTCAATAATTATCCTCGCAAATGCATAAAATCCGCCTTCTACTCGTAACAATAATAAGGAACCGATCGTGTCTCAATACATCAACGCCTCGATACGTCTTTTAGTCAGCCACAAGAGATTTATTTCAAGGAACTCTATCTACAATCAACACTGTTCCCAACACTGTACGCTCGATCAAGCAACTTTAAGATTTATAGCAGCTTAACGTTCGCGCGATAGCCGTTGGAGGAGCAAGTTAGATTATCGGCGAGGCACGTAAGGCCGCGGGACACCGTGGATCAACGGGTCCGGGAGGTGGTCACGGTTAACAGATTGCGTGAAAACATCCTATACCAGTTTGAAAGCAAGCTCTTTCTTGTTCCAGGTGGTACCGCCACAGGCAGCCGCGAGAGATGTGGTCGCGAGCGCGATTCTTGGTCCTGGCGTGGATACTCGCGTTGTTGGTGGGAACACGGGTCAGCGACGGGTCGCAGGGGCCTCGTCTCGGCGGCGCCGTAAATATCTTCAGCCGATACGGCTACCTGAGCATCAGCATGAGAGTGTTGCCCAGAAACGACACCGACACCTGGATATTCCGGGAGCCGACGTTGGACGTTTTCACGAACCCGGTCCCGGCGGCGAACAGGCAACGCCAGCAGACCGCGTTCTTCGACGGCGACTTCCACATGGAGTTCTGCGACAGCATCCGGCAGCTTCTGCAGGCCTACTTCCGGGACTTCACGTTCGAGAGGCTCGAGAGACCGTGGCGGGCGTTCACCGGCAGCTGGTCGAAGGCTGCCATCGCTCGGCATCTGGGCATCAACGCCTCCTTCATCACCGGCGAGCATTGTTACGTACTGGTGCGCGTCGCCAGGTTCCGGGAGAATCAGAAGCTGGCTGGCACGGCGGAGTCGATGATCCTCGACGAGGCCGTCTACAGGGAAACGAAGAACGTCACGGTCGGCGACACCGCCAGCGTTGTCCGATTCATCAAAAACTTCGGCTCGCACTACATCGCTTCCTTCGTGACGGGCAATTCTTTGTACCAGGTGAGGCCGGGTATCCGATCATTGCTATCTGGTAATGCATTCGCACCGGATCGGATCGAGCATGTTCGAGTCCTTTGGGTTTTCTTACTAGCGCTCGGAAAACGCACGCGCGAGTCTGTGGGTTCGTTACAGTTCGTTTCAAATTCAACGGATAGGGGTTACATGAATTGTTGGAGTGGGAAATTTTGGATGTAGCGGAACTTTGATTGTCCGAGACAACCCTTTGATTGTGACACGATCTCGCATGGATCTCTCAATATGTCAATATACATGTGTATATACATGTGATGTTTTCAAGTAAGTCGCTGTGGCTGACTGTTGCGCATAACAAAAGTGCAATTAAATTTAATTAAAATTGCTTAAAAAATTTAGAGAACGTATACATATTTACTTCTTCCGTATATATTGATAGAATTCGAGGGTGTACATATACGTCTTTCGTATTCATTGATTGAAATCCGTGAATGTATACAGAGTGGGTCGCAGTGCCAAATGATGATAAACACTATATTATTAATTTATAGTATTAAATATTTAAATAGTATTAAATATTTTATAATATTAAATATAAATAACAGTAAATTTATCTCTTTATGTTTCCGAAATATTGATTTTTATTATCAGTACTTTGTGGGCCACCCTGTGTATACATCTTTAGCAGTCAAAAGGTTAAACAGAATGACATGAGAATGTTCGGATAATACAGAGGTTTCGCATCCTAATTTAATTCTCTTGTAGATCATATTCACTGTTTTGTACTTTAAATTACTCCTTTTACAGGTTCCATTCAACTTATTGCAAATCAAATTCACTTATTTGTAATAAAATTGTTTGCGACAAAATGCATATTAAATTAAAATAATTGAATGTAAGTTTCACAGATAACTGTTGAAATGAATTTTATTTGCAGAAGGATGAATTTGATCTATGAAAAGATAAACAGACCTGCAAAAGGGTTAATATTGAATGTAAACAGGTGAATATGATCTTCAAAAGCATTAATTGAAAATATTAATAAACGTATAAAGAGGAGATTTAATAACACGTTATGGCTTTGCAAGAAACAAGTGCTTGCAATTTTAATTTTCGGATTTCTTTTTATTAATCTTGCTCTATGGAAATAGAATGTACATAATTTATATCTTTGTTTCTCTAATTTTATTTACATTTGAGAGTCCAGAACTACTATTTTACAAACGATTGGCTATCTTAACTCGGTGATCGTCAAATAATATCTTGGAGATGTCATAGGTTTCGAATTCAAACTTGACGTTTCGCTGACGTCATACATTTTTGAATCCCAAATGTTTTTTACAGAAACTCTCCATATACCTTTGAAGCGAATAAAGAATAATACAGAGATTGAATAAAGAACCTTGGAATTGAATTGTAAGGCAAGGGGTTATATATCAACGTGTTTCGAGTCTCTTGTTTCCAAACACATACCATTGCGAATGTCTTACGTATTGTTTTGCAATCGGTAAGCCTTAAGCACGACTCTCTCATAGTTTTCAATTTCTAAAACCATAATATTTAACAATTACACGGACTAAACTGTATATACGAACTAAATTAGTTCTCTACAAAGTTTGAACACTAATTTAGTCAGAATGTTTAATTTTTGCTCGCCGTCGTTTGGAAAGAGCGTCGATGTGATTGCACAAAACATTGCGCAACATGATTTAAATGAAATGCGAATTGTGAATCGAAGTGTTTATCTTCCATCGCCAAACGATCCCGATAGGTGTTGCGCTCGGTTTATAGCGTCTGCAATACTTTGCATCATCGCACTCGAGTTCGGCGAGGGTTACATAAGTTACCTAATTGAAATTCACGACGGTGTAGCTTAAGAGCCCGATATTTTCTTAATTATATATGTCCTTGTCAACAGGGACAGATATTGTGGAAATGTTGGATTTTACGATAATTTTCTTGTATTCGACACGGATCTTCTCTCAAAGCCAGCGTAGTTATTTATTCCTGCACGTGATAATGATCACTTTATATCCTTAAACGTCTTATGAAAGAGACGAGATTGATAGGTACTTGAAATTTATTGCTTCAGCATATCCTCGAGCAAGTCGTTCTAAGACTATTCGCAATACTTGATGCTAATGGATACTTATATTATAGTTAGTACTTTGAATGCCTTTTTTGCATTAGACTGCAGCACGAAGTCGCAAGTACGTGACAAAAATGAGTTTACAACGATTATGAATTTTTCATTGTGTTCATCATCGGTTCTTCGATGACTGTATTCGAAGTAAAGAAATAACAATATTAACTTATTAGCAAGTTGATTGTTAAAAGGTAACGATAAAAATTCTACAGAATCGAAGAAACTTGAATGACATGGAAATGACAAGCGTACAGATTTATTTTCAAATCTAGATATAGCAATCAATGTGCTAATCTACAATCGATTTGAAATTGTAATGAGAAATTTACGCTGTCCTAATGACTCAAACACGGTACAAGTATTTAAAGCAACTATTGTGTTGAAGAAAAATGAATCTATTCACAGAAGCGTGTACACAATAAATCACGTCAAAATAGCTTCGTTCTGTAAAAGTGATGATATTTATGCAAAATGAAAGCTTTCTGTAACAATCACGGAAACAGAATTTAGATACTTTAAGTTATCTTAAATTCCTATAGCATTTTTACTGTTTTTTTATATCACCCTTGATTATTTATCAACTTCTTATTTATCAGCTAAGTCGTCAGCAAGAGTGTCTACATCTTATTTTTCTCTCGCTTTTATACCGAGGCTGTTCGTCTCGAATTTTCCTAATTGATCAGTGCTGTGCAGCGTGCTGACCAATCGGGTCGCGTTCTTTTTTTACGACTTTTGCGTGACTGCAAATTTATTAGCGCTGTAACAGAACTTCCTCCGGGCCTGTTCGACGCGTGATGCGGCCGGTCGCGGGTCCGCTGCGAGCCAGCTGTGGGCCGTTGGGCCTCGGTCCGCGGGCCCTTCGGAAATCTCGGGATTTATGATACCAGCATTAGCTGTTGAGACCGAGAACGAAAGTTACTAAAGTACCGGAAACATGCTTTCTCGTTAGTACTGTGAGTACGCGTTGAGACGGTTTTCTCAAAAATAGCTTTCGCTATTTGCTAGTGTTATAGATCTTTCGTTGGGAATTTGTACGGCCATCGTCCATGGTGCCATGTGCTGATGGTCGCTACATAAAATTCTAGTTTAATGACGACACAAAAAAGTGATACAGCTAAAAAATGTCTGCATTCCTATGTCTATTTCTGTATTTAATTGTTTATAAAATGCTCTTTTCCAACATTTCAAAATTGGCGTGGTGCTAGAGACTGCAAATAATAATGTTATATTATTCATGTATTTATTCAGTCTGATGGCTAGAAATGTGATTTTATTTTACGAGATTATCTTAACACACTCATTCTTAATCTATCCACTATATCGTTTCCTTCCCTTCTCGTCTCCTCTACCCTTTTTTTTTTCCGTGCGGGAAATCTGCTGGCCAGACACCCCCGCCCCGCCGGGGGTGCGGGACGGGGGTAGTGCGAGGTTTGACCCGCTAAAACCCCCACGGCGGCCTAGGGCGCTGGCGATTACTGGGGGAGCCACGGGAACTCTTAACGAACACAACCGCGGCTCCCCCTCGCCTGGCCGGCCACCAGGATGGAATGGCGGTGGCCGGCCGCGTCCCGGGGGGGAG